AAAAAGCCAGGCGTTGTGGTGAGCACCTATAGTCCCAGCTACTTGGGAGGCTGAAGCAAGAGAATCTCTTAAGCCCAAGAGTTTAAAGTTGCTGTGAGCTGTGACACCATGGCACTCTATACAGGGCGACATAGTGAGACTCTGTCTCAAAAAAAAAAAAAAGCCTTTGACAGTTTCCAGTCAAAATACCATGTTCCCTAAGTTCCCACTGCTTCTCTGGGAAGCCATTTTGATTTATCCTAGGGGCAGACTTCCCTCTCCTATTAAGCACTGGCCACACTCTGGGCCTCTTAGGCTCTTTGGCAAGAAGAAAGCAAAGAAAAAAGAGGAGGGGCTGAAGGGGAGAGAGAGAGAGAGCCAAGAGACCCCTGGAGTAGGCTGGGCTAGCTCAGAAGTCCAGGAAAGATGGGCCTCCAGAAAAGTTGTAATATTGCCCTTCCCCTCTCCCCTTTACCCCAGGACTGCCTTTGCTCCCACCAAAAACCTCAGTATTTCCTTGTGTCAGTTTGAAATTTCTTACGTGGGCTGGAAGCTGGGGGCCTAAAGAAAAAGAAGGGATAGGGCCCCTGTTCTCAAAACAATTACAATCTAACTGGAAATGTAACACACAAAAAAAAGAAGCAAAAACACAAAATAGCAACTCAATAATGTTCAGAGGAAGAAAAGGCCTCAGATGGCCAAGTAGGTGGGGGAGAGGTTGTAGAATTTGGCTTGTGGAGAGAGGAGTGAAGGGTTCAGTCCCTATGAGCTGAAAGACTGGAGTCAAAGAAATTACTTCCAAGCACCAATTATGTCATATCTTTACTTCCCTTTATCCCAGTTCAGTGCTGAAGATGGGAAATCTCCAGGGGGTTCTGGGGAAGGCAGTACAAGCAGCTGGCTGAATCAAGAGTGTGTTCGCAGGGCCATGTCCACAGGGCTGTGAAGGCCAGATGGAGCATAGGGCCCGTGGAGGCAGGAGGACATGCAGTACCCTCCATGGCCTTGAGGAGGAGAGAGTCACAGGGATCAGGGCTGTTTCAGCAAAACCAGTTTGGAGGGTGTGTGTGGGACAGATGGCAGAAAACAGGCTGGAGAGCAGCTGAGGTTCCCATAATAGCTCCCATCAGGCCCTGACTTAGGCCATGTTGTGATGGTCACTGACCTTCCTCTCTGGGTCTTTCTGTCTGTGGACTGTGCCACTGCTTCTCTCCTCAGACTTAAAGCTGAATAATGGTCCAGGCAGGCCCCTTCCTTTAACCTTCATTCTCAAAAGGGTGTCAGCACCTGGGGTGCCCCAGATTCAGGGGGCTGGGTGTGAGAGATGCCAAGCATAAGGGATCAGTAGAACAGAGGATACCATGGAAGAGGAGGAGGAAGTCCCAGCAGAGTTTACTTATAGGAAAACCTGTAACAGCCCATATTTAGCCTTTTCTCAGCTCTGGCAGCATCTTCTCAGCAAACGCTCATGCAGAGGTCAGCTAGAATCTCAAGGGTTTTTACTTTATGGTACCTTGGCCCACACTCCAGCCTGAGTGCCCACCATGTGCCGTAGATTTCTGCCCTGGGTGCTGAGCAGAGGGTATCCCAGAAGGAGGAAAAGTAGCATTCAAGAGTCTCAGTCTACAAAAAGAAAACCATTTAGACCCTCAGCACTGGTGGGCACATAATACTGGCCATCTATGCTGACGGATGGAATGGTAAGGATATGCAATGCTGGGGTGATGAGCACCATATGGGGCGTGCAGTGCAGCCCAGCAGTGACTCTAGAGAAGAACCACATGGGGCAGAGGGGAGCACCCAGTGGGGGAATCTGTAGGGGTGGTGTTGGGCGGGGGAAGAATGAGCGAGTATTGGCTTTTGTCGGCAAGTTAACTTACAAAGAAACACAAGTATCTTTAAGCCACACTGGGATGCTGTGAAGAACACAGTCATCTCTTCCCACAGCCCAACTTTCATGGGCTTTTCTGTTTTATTTGGGAGCGCCAAGCTGGAGTCCAGGAGAAAGACCCTAGAGAGTACCACATGCAAGGCAAAATAAATAGTGATAAGGATTTGGGGGACAGGAACCAAGTTTCTCCCCTGGGTCAGAGCTTGGGGCCCAGAGTCCAAGAGCCTAGGTAGAAGGGAGCCGCCCTACAACCCCTCTCCTCCCTGCCTGTCCAATCTGCATCAGTATCTCAGAGGCAACAGGGAAACCCCACTCTCCCTAAACATAGGTCTGAGGGTCCCCGGCTAGCCTGGGGGTGGTGCTGAGAGGTAGGTTCATTTTAGTTTGAATTTACCTAAAAGTTCAGGAAGCCCTTGTTGACATTCTTGCTTGGGGGCCCAAAATTTAAACTTAGTCACTGCCCAGATCCCTTGTTTTAGGAAAGAATGAAATGGCCATGGTTGCATAACTCCGAGCTGGGCGGGTATGGGTTGTTGAAGGAAACAGTCCCTCTTCCTCCCTCGTGTAAGGAGTGCTGGGAAGTGGTCGGTGGAGAGCAGTTGAGGCAGACCCTCAGCACTAAAGCAGACAAGTGGGCAGACAGAAACACCCAGGCCAGGGCACAGCACAGCATGATGAATGCAGAAAACCCCATGGATGGTTGCGGGAGAAGAGGACAGATTCTGGGAAAGCAGGGGGATGGAGAAGCAGATGACCTGAGGGACGGGGTGGGGTGTGTGTGTACGGGGGCGGGGTGTGTGTGTGGTGTTCTGCTTTCTGGCCACTATCCCTAAGACCATCCAGAATGTATAAGTTCCACTCACTTTTGTTCCACTCCATAGTTTGAACTGGCTGATTCTCCCCTTTCCTGCCTCCCAGGTGTCCGTTCAGGGTTCATTCCTTCCCATCCTCTCTCCATTTCAGCCCCCACTCCCAGTCTCTTCTATCATCTTACCCCAGCCTGGCTCCCCTCACAATCCTCTTCTCCACAGCCACGTAGTACGCTTTCTGTTGCCCCTTTCCTAGTTTGGTCCCGACCTCTTCTTCAGGTCGGTCTACTTCTCTCTCCTGCAGTAGGTTCTCCCAGGACCCCATCATCCCTCATCTGCATCTTCTCTCCACACATTTGCCCACATCCCTCTCCGGAACCCCCATGCCGTCTCTGCTTCCCTGTAACCCCTTGTCTGCTCACTGCCGGTGGGAGCCCTTGCATGCCCCTCATCTTCCTACATAAACACACGCACACAGTGCATTTCGCTGCTGTCCTCCCCTTCTCCCACCCCTCCCCACCCTCCAGTCCCTCCAGCCAGCTGTACAGCTCCCAAATTCCGGGCTAGATTCCCAGGAACAAAGCAAGAAAAATCAGAGCAATTTGGGAAGTAAACAGAAACTGGGAAGGGAGGGGAGAGAGAAGAGTGGGGAGGACCCAGGTGGTGGTGGGGGCTCTCCAGTCCCACCCAGTTTAGGGAATGCCCCTGCCTTCTCCAACCACCCCCCCTTCACCTGGCTCTTAAAGGGCCGGGCCCCAGACTGGCGGCTACTTAAGGCAGAGGGGCGTCGGCGGATAGCAGCTGCGCTGCAACTGCTCTGGAGGAGCGGACGGACGGGGCAAAAATCCTGACCATGACCCCTCACAGGCTGCTGCCGCCACTGCTGCTGCTAACTCTGCTGCTCGCTGCTCGGCCAGGAGGCGCTTTGGCGCGGTGCCCAGGCTGCGGGCAGGGGGTGCAGGCGAGCTGTCCAGGGGGCTGCGTGGAGGAGGAGGATGGGGGGACGCCAGCGGAAGGCTGTGCAGAAGCTGAGGGCTGTGTCAGGAGAGAGGGTCAGCAGTGCGGGGTCTACACCCCTAACTGCGCCCCAGGACTGCAGTGTCTGCCTCCCAAGGACGACAAGGCGCCGTTGCGGGCACTGCTTCTGGGCCGCGGCAGCTGTGGCCGGGCCCGCGCGCCCGCGGGTGAGTCCGGGCCCCGCCTCTGCCCCGCCCACGGAGACCCGCATCAGCCCAGGCGGGGAGCCCTACAAGCGGCAGGATCCTGGGGTTGATGCTTCCTACCCTGACTTGGGGCGGACACTGGAGGGGTGGGGAAGGGGCAAGCCCAGGAGCAGCTAGGCGGGTGGGGTGTGGCGAGAGAACTTGGGGATAAAACTGGAGGTGTCTGAGATTCCCACCTTCTTTCTTGATCACGTATTTATTTTCCCTTGAGGGAGCGGGGAGGAATGGAGGGTTTGGGGCCATCCTATGTGGCCCTGAAGGCTCGGCTCCTTCGACACTAAACGCTCAAGCTGGGGAAAAGACTCAAATGTTATTCCTCACTTCCACTTGGATAAGGAGGAAAGGGAAAACCAGACTTCCAAGCTCAGCATAGCCTGAGAAATGTTTCCTTATATCCTCTTTAACACCAGGGTGGGAAGAGCCTGAACAGAAGAAGGGGTCTAGGACAGAAGATGCTCCAAATCCAGTTGCGCCAGACTTGACTAGGGACAGAGGGCAGGCCCTGCGGGGCCCCCGGGCAGGGAGAAAGAGGTGGGAAAAGAGGGAATCTGCCAAGTCAGGATTGTAATTTAAACCTGCTCAGAATCCTTCACCCACCTACCCCGCCCTACTCCAGGGAGGAGAATGGAAGCTGAGTCATTGGGTGGGTGGGGCAGAAGTGAATCAGCACTCAAAGGATGGTGGGGGGTGGGGAGTGGCAGAGAGATGAGGAAGGCATGAAATGCAAAGTGCCCCTACCACCCACATCTGAGCTCCCATTTTCTTCCATGAAAGGGATGGAAAATAAACTTGCTGTTACTTTGGAGTGCAGTCTTAGGGGTCTTTCTAGAAGGAGTGGTCTGGGGTTGGTAGGAGAAGGCAGTGTGACTTATGGTCATGATTGGATAATAAATGGAGGGAATGTGGGACAGGGTCTGAGGAAGTTGGGGTTCGGTAAGGGAGAAGGATCACACTCAGGATTGCAAAGGAAATGGGCATGGAGAGAGAGAGAACCTGCGTCAGCGGTTCTAATATCTAATTTTACAGTGGGGGCAAATTCCAACCAGTACATGCTCCCCTCCCTGCCTTTTCCTAGCCCTGACTTATTTCCTCACCCCTTCCCAGTCCTGAGCTCTCCCCAGGCCCCCCAGAAACTTTCTCCAGAGCCAAGAACAACCTGAAGCCCCACATTCCTTGCACCTTTGCAACCTGCCCTCAGCCCATCTGGGTTAAGGGGAGTTGAATTCATGTGTTCCTAAGACCTTGGAGTTGAGATGGCCTGGGCCACAGGAGACCAGAGGGAGAGGTCCCCACTGCGGTGCCCCCAAAGTAATCACATCTCAGGCCTGGGAGGGGTGGGTTGAGTCACAGCAGGGTCACAGCGGGGACACGCATTCCGCTTAGGTCCCTGTTGACCTCTTCCTGCATCCGTTGTTCTACGGCCCCATCTCCCTGGCTTGGTGCGCCCCCTTCTGGCTTCTGGTGGAACAGCCAGTTCTTTTCCCTGAAGCTCAAAGCCTCACCATAATTAATAGTGCTTCGAATTTGTTCTTAGCTTTTGCTTTCCAAATGCTTCTCCCTTATAAGCCTTAAGATTACTCTGGGAAATATTGTCAGGAAGAGCAATAGAAGTATTTTTCAGAGGAAGAAACTAAGGCCCGCATAAGGTAACAGTGGAGCCAGGTTTTAACTCTCCTCGCTTTTCTCCCCATCCACAGGCCTCCCTCTGTCTCACACTTCAGTGGGTAGTGGTGGGAAAGCTCCTCTCCTCCTACCCCTGGCCATTGGCATCTGCCTAATTTCTGGCCCCTTCTCCCATTCTTCCTATGGTTGTAGATGAGAATCCTAAGGAGAGTAAACCCCAAGCAGGGACTGCCCACCCACAGGACACAACCCGCAGAGACCAACAGAGGAATCCAGGGACTTCTACCACTCCAGCCCGGCCCAATTCTGAGAGTGTCCAAGACACCGAGATGGTGCGTTACAGCAGAAGGGCTGGGGAACCTTGGAAACTTCCACTGAGATTTTTCCCTTTGGCTTGGAGGAGTCTCTGATGCCAACTCTGAGAGCCTGGCTGGGGGGACCCTGAGGGCTGTGCAGAGGGGTTGGGCTGGAGGAGTTTTGAGCTGCCTACCCTGCCTCCCCCAGGGCCCATGCCGAAGACACCTGGAGTCAGTGCTGCAACAACTCCAGACCGAGGTCTACCGAGGGGCTCACACCCTCTACGTACCTAATTGTGACCACCGAGGCTTCTACCGGAAGCGGCAGGTGAGACTATGCCTCTCCTCCTCATGCTCCAGAGTGAGGTTCTTATGAGGTTTGGGGGAAGGGTTACAAAGTTGGGTAAATAAGACACTTTTAGAACCTACACAGACATAAAGAATAACTAACCTGGCCAGGCACGGTGGCTCATGCCTGTAATCCTAGCATTCTGGGAGGCCAAGGCAGGTGGATGGCTTGAGCCAGATCAAGACCTCATCTCTGAAAATAGCTGGGCACTGTAGCAGGTGCATGTAGTCCCAGCTACTTGGGAGGCTGAGACAAGAGTTTGAGGTTGCTGTGAAATATGGCACCATGGCACTCTCCCAAGGATAACAAAATGAGACTCTGTCTCAAAAAAAAAAAAAAAAAGAATAACTAACCATCATATCAGACTTAAAGTACTTAAGGAATGGGCTAACTCAGTGGCTGTCAGACTTGAGGCATGGAATCATCTGGAGGGCTCATCTGCAGTTTCCAATTCAAGTATGTCTGGATGAAGCCCGAGAATTTGCATTTCTAACTGGTGATACTGGTGTGGTTGATTTGGGAACAGCACTTTGAAAACTACTGTTCTGGGCTAGTAGAATCCACACAATTTATTGGTTGAAGAGAGGGAACCCAGGAACGGGAAGCCAGTGGGCCTCACTTCTCAGGAAAGGCTCATATGCTTCTGCGTCCTCAGACCTAAGAGTCCCCTCCCATTCTCTTACTGGAAGCCTTGGGCTTCATCCCTGATATGTGTGCCTGTCTTCCCAGTGCCGCTCCTCCCAGGGACAGCGCCGAGGTCCCTGCTGGTGTGTGGATCGGATGGGCCAGCCCCTGCCAGGGTCTCCAGAAGGTGAAGGAAACTCCCCTTGCCCCAATGGGAGTAGCACCTGAAGCTGGTGGGTGCCAGGGGCTGCAGGGCCACTAGCAGGAGCATGGGGCTGTCATCTTGGGTTATTTGTTGAGTGATGACTAATGCAGGGGCTCTGAGCTCTGTGATCCAGCCTCTGGTCCTGACCCCTTGCCCCCTCGCCCATGGCCCTTACACATCTGGTTGGAGAGATTGTTGGTGTTGGCTTCGGTTGTTAATAAAACTGTACTGGGGGTCTCTGGCTTGTCTCTGTGTCTACTTCTCACAGTTCTGGAACTCCCAGCCCTGTCTCTACCCCTATTGCAACCCACCCTCAGCATTCCTCCTTTCCCATGGGCTACCTTCAGTTCCTCCTGCTGCACTTGGAACACAGAAGACAGCCACTGGCAGAAGGGCAGAAGGTCTGAGGCCTACAACCTCACCCAGCTACCCACCCGGAGTTGGGAGAGTGAAGCACTGATTTCATAGCCTCAATCTGTTACGACCTTGTTTCCAACACTGATCTTTGGACACAGGGGAGGGGAAGGATTAATAGTTAATCCCTAGCAGGAACCCAGCAACGGGGAATTCTCAAAGCATTTACTCTTCTGTTACTTCCTTACTAAAAGGGGAAGGAAATTATTATTTATTTATGAGCTCAGCCTATGTCCTTGAAACATATGATTTTACCTAGACTGCCTCATTTAGTGCTTACCTTATGAGGTAGGGATTTTTACCTCCATTTTTCATAGGTGGAAACTATGTCTTTAAAAGTTTGGGTCCCTTTCCTGAAATTACATAGCTAGTAAATAATTGAAGGAAGTTTGCTTCTGGTTCTCCAATATGTGCCAAGAGTTGAGAATCCTTAGGTGCTGAATAAGGTGCCCACATGCTAACCCAAGTGGTATCAGGAAGACCTGACTTTCAGTGTCCTTGGCACCCAGCGTTTCCTAAATAGGCCAAACCACTGTGGGAGTCACAGGTGCCAACACCATCAGAACTTTACCGTACACTTGATCATACATCCGTAGTCTCTGGAAGCTGAGTGCACTAGTGCCACATACATGGAGATGTCCTGACCCCTCCCTGACCTTCCTCCTGTTGGGGGAGAGATGGAAGGCCAGCTATGCTGGGTGGTAAGCCTCAGAAAAGCAAGGTTCCCATCCCCATGCACAGTCACCATTCCTGTGGGAAGGACAGCACACTCAGAGTCTGGGTGGTGACTGGCGCATTAGGAGATGCAACTGTTCCTGTGACAGACAGCAGAGCAGAGTCTGTAGCAGGGCTGCCCTCCGGATCAGATAACCTATCGCTCTGGGAGGTCCTCTACTCCTGAAAGGACTTTAGTCCTTGGAGCTGTCAGCTGAGCTGAGTGGGACAAGAGCTGAGCAGGGCACCACAGTCTGTGAAGGAAAGGAGGGAACACAGGCAAGGGCTACCTGCTGCCCACTCACAACCCACATCATGGAGCCCAGGGCAGGCTGTTTGCGGAGAAGAGATGGGCAGAGAGGGGAGCAGGAGGAGCGACCTTCTGGAGAAGGTGAGTCACCCTCTCAGAGTGCAGAAGGTTCAGGAGGGGGTGGGGAAAGAAGCATTTTTTTTTTTTTTTTGAGACAGTCTCACTTTATCGCCCTTGGTAGAGTGCCATGGTGACACAGCTCACAGCAACCTCCAACTTCTGGGCTTAGGCAATTCTCTTGCCTCAGCCTCCCGAGTAGCTGGGACTACAGGTGCCTGCCACAATGCCCGGCTATTTTTTATTGGAGTTTGGCCAGGGCCAGGTTTGAACCCACCACCCTCAGTATACAGAGCTGGCACCCTACCTACTGAGCCACAGGTGACACCTGAAAAGATGCATTTTTTGAGGGGAGCTTCCTACTGTCTATCCTTCCTGCTGTCTTAGAAGGTCGAGGAAGGCAGACCCTGGCCTCTGCCCCAGGCCACCCAGTTGGGAGATGGAGGAGAAAGGGGCTATTGACAGCTATGGCCCCACCTTCTCTCTCTGACCCTTTAGCCCCAGAGGGTAAATGAAACAGCTTCCTGTTCCCTGGGCACACATCTTCTAATCATGTCATCAGGCCCCCTGCTTGCCGATGGCTTCCACATTCTCCAAAAATAACTTCCTCTTCTAGTTGCCCACCCATGACACTAGATATGCGCAAGATGGGGTCGGGGCCAGGAGAAGGCTACTGAACATTCAAAGAGTGTGTCCTGGACAGAAGATGCTTCTGAGTCCACAAGGCAGCAGCACCCTAACCCATCCCCCTTGTCCCTCTTGTATATGCCTTTTGCTCCTTCCTCCTAGGAAATGCTGAGATGCACAGAACCTCAGACTTGGTGCAATGGTCCCAACATATGGAGGTGAGGGACATCAGAGGTCAGAGGTCAAGATGGAGAGGTCTCGGGGTGGCAGCAAGCAGGGCTGAGGACTAACTTGTTGATAAAGATGATGTGTTCTTGAGTGAAAAGATCAGGTTAGAATTCAGGGTTGAGATGGAGGGGTCCTCAGGCCAAGACTCAAAGTCAGCCAATGAGCAGTCTTCCTGTTTGTGGGGCTAGAGGTCAGGGGTTAAAGAGTGAGGATAAGCCATGATGTGGCTGGAGTTCAGACCCAGGGAGTAGAAGCCTTGCTCCTGCTGTCATTTCTTGGTGCTCACAACTGCCCTGGGAAGCCAGAAGAGCAATTCTTGGAGAACCTCTGGCAGGAACCATGGCTTATTCATCTTTTTGTCCCTGGCACTATGCCTGGCATAAAGAGAACCTCAGTAAATGGTGAAATGAAAGGATGGCTCAAGGGATGGAGGGACAGGTGGGCCCTGCCCTGGCTTTGTCCTACAGGCTGTGAAGACACAATTGCTGGAACAAGCACAAGGACAGCTGATGGAGCTGCTGGATCGTGTCACGTGGGAGGCTGTACAATCCTACCCCTCACAAGGGAGGCCTCTGCCCCCTACTCCCCTAGTTTCTTTGAGCAGGTGAGTCTGAGGGGCTAGGGAGCTGAGGAATGGCTGCAGCCAGCTCTTTCACAGCAAGGATCTTATGGCACAGACCACATCTTATGCACCCTTTGCCAGCCTCAGTATGACTCTGACTTCAGCCTTCCCTCTTCTTCCCCATCATCTTGTCTTCCCGCAATGGTCTCCACGTTCTGACCCTTGCTCTGCTTGGCCCTGCCCTCTGCCCACTGCTTTCTTCCCTTGGGGCCTGACTCTGAACAAATGTCTCAATTCAGGACACAGGAGCCACCCCTAGGGAAACGGAAAGTTTTCATCATTCGCAAGTCCCTGCTTGAGTAAGTCGGGGGTGAGGACAGGGCATGGGAGGAAAAGAAAGGGCTTCAGCCAATGGTCCAGGTCACCTCACTTCTGATCCTTAGGCTCTAGGAGGTTTACAGAAGGACTGGGAGAGGGTTTCTAAAGTTCCTATTTCCCCATGTGCTCTGGGCATGGTTGTGGAAGAAAGACCACCAGGAAGAAAAGTCTTAAGCACATCCCAGCTTTTAGCTGGGAGATCCAGATCACTAGCTCCCATGCCCTCATCTGTACAGAACCGAGCCAGTCCACATGGCTCAGAGAACTCTCCCACACTGACATTAGGCCCCTGTCCCTAGTGAGCTGATGGAGGTACAGCACTTCCGCACCATCTACCACATGTTCATCGCCGGCCTGTGTGTCTTCATCATCAGCACCCTGGCCATCGACTTCATTGATGAGGGCAGGTAGGCCCCCACCCCCGGGATAGGCACACTGATTGGATTAGACCCTCTGGATTCCTGGGTCCCTAGTGTCCCACACTACTTCCAACAATCTTCCTAATCAAATGCACTCTCCAGCCTTTGATGGCCTTTGGTCTGTCCTCCCAGAGCCAGCCATTCTAGAGACACCATCATGCTCCCTTTTCAAACATCACTGGAACCGTGCCCTGAGACACATGTACGTGCACGCACATGCTTGTCCACATGTGGCCTTTTCAAGTCTGTTCTATTCAATTCAAGTGACCTCCATGGAGTACCTACTAAGTACCAGTCCTTGGGGCCAGAGAAGTGAACAGGGCAGACCCCATCACCATCGGGGAGGTACTCCCCATCTCTCAGAGAAGACAGACACCCACCCAAGTGCCTTGCTGGGTAGTTGACCCCACAGAGCATCCCTATGACTCTGAGGATGCCCCTCCCAGGCCTGTATGCCCCAGGGGTCTGTATTCTCATGCCCTCCCCACCCCCCAGTTAGGCTTAGCAACAGCAAAAGGAAGAGGACAAGGGCCTGCAGGTCTAGCAACGGTACTTCCTTTTGGTAAAATTTTTATTGCCAATTATCCAAGTTTGATAAGGATAAGATCCCAGTGAATACACTTTTTTTTTTTTTTGAGACAGAGTTTCACTTTGTTGCCCTCGGTAGAGTTCCATAGCGTCACAGCTCACAGCAACCTCCAACTCCTGGGCTTAGGGATTCTGTTGCCTCAGCCTTCCAAGTAGCTGGGACTACAGGCGCCCAACACAACGCCCGGCTATACAGTAGACTTTTGCCTGCTTTGTCTCTCCCCACTTCAAGGCTGGTGTTGGAGTTTGACCTACTGATCTTCAGCTTTGGACAGCTACCCCTGGCGCTGGTGACGTGGGTCCCCATGTTCCTGTCTACCCTGCTGGCGCCCTACCAGGCCCTGCGGCTGTGGGCGAGGCCGGGGGCCGGAGGCGCTGCCAGGACGCTGGGGGCCGGCCTGGGCTGCACGCTGCTGGCCGCCCACGCCGCGGTGCTCTGCGTCCTGCCGGTTCACGTGGCGGTGGAGCACCAGCTCCCGCCCGCCTCGCGCTGCGTCCTGGTCTTTGAACAGGTGAGGGGTGAGCGCCGCTCCTGGCAGGAGGGAAGGGGCCGGGCCATCTCTGCAGGGGGCGAGCCTTTCATGGAGTATCAGCGGCAAAGTCGCCTATGAGGGACCTAGGGGAACCTGAAGCCTCTAAGGAACAGTAAACACAAGGGGCGCCACTACTCCACTAGGCAAACACAGTCTGACACCGCGGTGACAGGGGCTTGGCTGAGTGGGGATCCCGCCCTGGCCTCTCCTGTCTCTTCTCGCCCCTTCTTCCCAGCAGCCGACTGTGTTAGGATATAAGGCATCCGACAAAAAGAAAAAGTCTGGGCTCCTACCACAGAGATTTCACACTCTGCCTGTCTCTGTCTGGTAAATGAGAGGGCTGAGAGGTTAAGTGATTTGCCGAACGCCACACAGCAACTTGGCCTCCCTTCCACTCTGCCTCAGGTCAGGCTCCTGATGAAGAGCTACTCCTTCTTGAGAGAGGCGGTGCCTGGGATCCTTCGTGCCAGAAGAGGTGAGGCTGGCAGCTGGCCCTGTTGTAAACTCAGTCCTGTGGACTGGTTGAATGAAGCCCTGCCTTCCCCACATCTTGCCCCCAGGCCACGCTCTGGCCTCCCCCTGGGCTGTGTGGGCCTTAGTCATTAGGCAGTCTCAGGTCCCACCTCTGAGAGTTGGCTCTTCTGTTACCAGGACTTCTGGCCTTTTCCTATTTCCAGGCCCAGTGTGAAAGGATCCAGGGTACATGAACCTTACTAAAGCATACCTCAGAGATATCTTGGGTTTGGTTTTAGACTCCTGCAGTAAAGCAAATGATGAATTGGGGGGGTTCCTCTGCATACATGGGTCACTATGAAAGTTTTGAGGCAGACTGTATTATGGTCCATTAGTTCACTTTCAAGAAACACAGTCAACAGTCCTTCCTGATTCACCCATATAAGTTTCAACTTGCTGTGCTTATCAGTGTTGCTGGGAGGACTTCATTTGAATTGTGTATGTCTCAAAACTTTCATAATGATCATGTACAAGAGTTATGTTTACACTATACAGTAGTCTAAGAAGTGCAGTAGCTTATGTCTAAAAACACAATGTATAGGCTCGGCGCCTATAACTCAACTGGCTAAGGCGCCAGCCACGTACACCTAAGGTGGCGGGTTCGAATCCCCAG